ATGTCCAAACGGGCTCGTAGTCTGGTAGTGGTAACGGCGCAAGCTACCTACATTTTATGGTTGTAATTAATAAATAGCCACATTAACAATGACTCTATATGTGAAAATTGAAGTTTTAGTTATGGATTTGAAGCTCTATTATATAGTGACTAGTTTCAATTACAGAGGCGGAAAAATGATTTTTTGTGAATTTTATCCAGTGCGGTGTCATTGGGCTTTTTCCGGGTGAAATTCAAAAATAGCCAGATTTACAATTGATCGTTTAAAAATAGTCCAGTTTCAAAAGTAATCCATATTTAGCCACTTTTCATGTAAAGATAAATCTGAGCGAAAACACTGTTCAAAACCCGGAAAATACCAGCATATTATGCTGGAGTTCCAGCATAAGTATACTTGAACTCCAGCATATTATACTGGAGTTCCAAGATAAGTATGCTGGAACTCCAGCATAATATGATGGAGTTCCAGCATAAGTACACTAGAACTCCAGCATAATATAATGGAGTTCCAGCAAGTATACCGGTCCAGCAAGTATACCGGTCCAGCATAATATACTGGAGTTTGCTGGAACTCCAGCATAATATGATGGAGTTCCAGCATAAGTACACTAGAACTCCAGCATAATATAATGGAGTTCCAGCAAATATACCGGTCCAGCATAATATACTGGAGTTTGGAGCACTGGTGCTCCAGTATATTATACTGGAGCCAGCAAAGTATACCGGTGCAGCATAATATTCTGGAGTTCATACACAGGTGCCAGTGGCGGAGCCAGGATCTTCACGAAGGGGGTTCAAAAAATTCTTTTGTAGCTAGTGGGAATTGAACCCATGACCTTATGTAAATTTTGAACACCCTTGACCACTAAACTACACTTTTGGATTATGTTAATGGTGTTCAAAACTTAATATATAGAGGTAAAAAACAGATTTTTCCTTATATATACAACGTAATTTTTCAGCGAAGGGTGTTCGGGTGAACACCCTTGCGCCCCCCTAAATCCGCCCCTGACAGGTGCACCGAACTCCAGTATATTATGCTGGACCGGTCTCTGTTGCAGCAAAATAGTGGCTATTTTTCATTGACTTGTTAAATGCTGGCTATTTTTGAATGATCAGTCCGAAAACTGGCTAGACCGTGCTATTTTAACACTTTTTCCTAATACTGTAGTTCGGACTTTTTCTAGAATTTCTTCCCTTTGTAAGCTGGAGCTTTAGTAAATCCAAGATGCTTCTGATTTATTTTTAAGGCAAAAAGTTCTCAAATTCGGATGGTAGATGCGATCAAAAGGTCAGTCCCCTAATTAAGTGCCTACATAAAATCTTTTTACCAAATTCAAGAGGTTAGCTATGCGCTCAACGTCTATTTGTTTGAGGCTTTGAGCTGGCTTTTAGGGTGCAAATCATTAAATAAAAAGGATTTACTTGTCATGCAAATATATATTAAGAAATTTGGGAGTGAGCCAAATTTTGGTGCTTCCATGCTTGATAATTTATTCTATCATAATTTTTGGTATACTTATCATGCTTATATAAAGATGGATAATTGCTGCTTTATTTCGTGTTAGGATGATGTTGAACTGAAACTAGTTGAAGCAGAAGAGAGCTGCAACTGACCCCAGTGTCACACCTCCTTTTTTACACACCTACCCCGAAGGATAAATGTATAAGGAAGTTTTTCCATTTAAAGTGACATTATTCGAAATGAGATTATTTATTTATGTTTAGAGTCGACACTTGGGATAGGTTTGGCTTTTGGTGTCCCAAGTCACCGGTTTAACTTAAATCCCAAATCGAGGAAAATTTCGACTTCCCAACTGGAGTCTGCGAACCAGAAATTCTGAATAAGGAATTCTGTTGACCCGAGGGAAGGTGTTAGGCATCCCCGGATCCCGTGGTTCTAGCACGGTCGCTTAAATTGCTATAAATGGCTAAAATCTTATTTTTATACAAGTTTTTGACTTATATGCTTTTTAACTTTAAATCGCTTTATTATTATTTTTAAGAAGATTTGCAACGTCGTGAAAATATATCTCGAACCACGTCACATAAATGCACCCGTAGTCTTCGACACATTTCAACTTCGTTGGATTTGGATTTGGGTCACATAAATGCACACCCGAGTTTAGGAAGATAATATTATTAAAACAACGCGCCTAAAACAACTACGCGTTTTTTACTTTGCGAGGCCATGGAAATTTGCTAAATGGCACGCCTCGAGTTCTAAGAAGTTAGTGTTAATTACATGAGGGCCATGGATTTAAGACTTTTGTTTGGCACGGCATGCCTCGAATTATTTCAAAGAAAGCATTCAACTAAAACAAACCACGGATATTCATGATTAATTAATTCCTAAACTAGTTTGAGATTGTTTGTGATGCTGAACAAATCGACTAAAAACAAAAAACTTTGCCATCAACTCTTTTAACTTATGTAGTGTCCAAATCAAATCAAATTAAAGAAGCCTAATTTCAGAATATGATCAGCTAAGAAAGTAAAAGTAGCATGATTAAAGAAAAAAAATGATCCTTCCTATTTACTACACTGAACAAGATTTTACTACGACATTAACTTTCAAAATTTCAAACTCGTATAAAACAAACTATGAGAATAAAACATATGCTTGCCAAAACAGTTCAAATCCCAAGGTGTTAGAGTCACAATTTCCTTACTACCTGGAACCACTTTTCTTTTCTATAAAAATACACTAATTAAAGCACTATCTTTTCCAGTTCAGCCACATCAATTTTTTTTTTTTTTTGCCAATTCAATCAATTTCTTTTGATGGCACTCCAAATACCTCTACTGCCTTATAGGAAAGGAAAACAGTTTTTTTTTTTTTATGAGTCATGGAAATCAGTGTGAAGTACATCTAATATGTTCTATTATAAATTTCATATCGCTATTGCAAATTAAACACAATTTCAACCCAAGGTCTCCATGAATCAGATTCAATACCAAATAAAGCAATTAACAGATCTCAAATTAGAGAGGCGTGAGTGGACCTTTGATGTTTAATTTGACCAAACAAAAGCCTTGATTCAGAGAACTTAATCAGCAGAACAAAAATGATAACAGGACGACGCCGCCAATCACAAACGGAACTTCGAACAGAACCTCACATTCATACATTGTAATAGAACCAAAACAAAATGAAAGAAGTAATCTCACCACCAAAAATGGGAACCTCGAACCAGACCAGAAAACCGCCGCAACCGCAACAAAACTCCACAACGGGCCTCGTCGGAACCACGGACAGAACCTCGTCGTGAACTCAAACCCGACTCAAACTCCGAACTCGCCGGATTCCAGGGTTTTAAATCGACAATCAGAAGAAGAAACTAACATTTGAAACAAAAATCAAAGGATTTGAATCCGAAGTCCGTCCTCCGTTTTTTCCGTTCGTCCCTTCACCATAAAATCCCCAAGTTTCTTTTGCGATGTCACTATGTATTTATATGAAGAATCCTCAATTGAATAAAGTTTTTTTTGGGAGAAAATTTCAGATGTATGACTGCCGTTTTCTCACTTTTAGGAATTGCGGCTCATTTTTCTTGAGAGGTGATGATCTGTTCTTAGCTTAGTCTAGTGACGATGGAGAGCTCTTTTAATTTTGAAGATGCGGCTGATGCTGTATTTTTTTTTTTTTTTGGTGTGTTTGTGGTGTAGGTAGTATTATATAGGGTAGGGATTAGGTTAGGGGTATGGGCCTAGGAACTATGGGTTAGGGATTTTGGGCCAAAGACTAAAAAAAATGGACTATAAAATTTATAAAAACGGGATAAACCAACCTAAAACTAATTCTTTCTTCTAAAATTATGTACAATTATAATATAAAAATATAAAACTAATTTTAATTAATTGAACTAAACTATAAAACATAAAACTATTTTTTTGTGTTTTCAAGATTATAAAAATAAAGATAGGGTACTATTTTGGTAATTTTTTTTTTTAAGATTAAAAATGACTATAAAATATTAATAAACCTATTTTTTGTAATTTTTTATTTTCTTGTAATAAAATAAAATAAAATAGTAAAAATTAGTTGAAATGACGATATTAGGCCTAAACTAAATATTTACATGATAAAATGGGTAAAATTTCGGGGAGGGTCAAAAATCACATGTCAACACCCAGGATGAAGAATGTCTAGAGATCGAGGACTTTGGCAGCTCAACTTGATTATATCTACACCCAAAATCTAAACCCCTAAATTGTTCCGAGGGAAAAGAATCTGTAAATTAGGAAGAAAAAGAAAAAAAAGAATAGTTTGCTTCAAACTTTCGAAGTTTGTTTCAATATTTAGTTATAGCCTTGTAAGTCAAAACGTGATAGTATAATACGTACGGTTGTCAGTGATGGTGTTAAATTGCTTTTGAAGTATCCCTTGTTGATTTTAATGGTTTTTTTTTTCTTCAAAAAGAAAATACAAGTGATGAATGGGAAGGGCATCGAGAAAAATATTGTAAAACAGACACTTGAGCTGGTAAGAAATAATACGTAATTTGGTGGAATATGTAAGGAAGCTGGTTTTGAATACCATTGTTATTGAAAAGAATGAATGATTAGAATCAAACTCCAGCTACAATGTGGAAGACTTCCACCACTACTATTCTAGGTAATGATTTTCTAGATACTTAAAGAGTATTTTTTGGAGTTCGTCATCACACCATGAATTTCTCCTCGAGCAATGTTTTGTGCGATGAGGGCTTCTAACTTAGACCTATATATTTAAACAACATTAAAATGTAGTACTATATCTTTTCTACTGAGCTTACAGCTATTTCCATAAAAACCATGATCACCTAAATCTAGAATATAAAAGTGAAAGAACTAATGGGCAGAGATTAAAGACTAGAGAGACAACAGACAATGTTAAATTCTTTCACGTGTGAATTCAACTAGACAATAAATCTAAGACATAGATAGAGAGTAAATATGCAAAGAGTTTTACCAACAAAGAACCTTTCTCTTGCTGGAATATTGTGACAGTGACAAACTTTAAGTAAGAACCAAAATCCAAGGACCATTCAAGATGTCTACGCACAAACTAAGGCATAAGCTAATAACAGCAGAGGACTTCACACTCACACACCTATAAACTTGAGTAGTTCTGTCAACAACCTCCTCATTGATAAAATCTACATATCTTCTCAAACACTCGTATAACTTTTCCAGTAGAAACTCCACAAAAGATTTAACACACTCAAAAATAACTCTCCCACTCAAATCAAGAATAAACCTCTTATTGCATGGCACTATCAAAGCATTTGATACTTTATCCATCCACTCAGTATCCTGATCCTCATCCAAAAATTGTTTCTCTTTGAAGCTATTAACTGAAAAAGAAGCTGAATCCATATCTGTACTTGTCAAAATTTGATGAGAAGTTTTGACAAAAGTTTCTACTGCACCATTACATATGGTCATTAGCATTTCTCTCATTTTAGCTTCGTTCTTGGGATTTGTCAACCCAGTGAATATCTCATTGTAGGTGTTGATATGCATTGTCCTGTCAAGATAAACAGTAACGGCAGTGCTTACAAATAATTGTACACAATTTCCGATCAATTCTCTGAACTTATCCTGGAATATAGCACCAACCCATACTGGAACAGAGTATTCAATATCTGAACTCTGTTTAAGAGAATAAAAAGCCAGTACAAAATTTCTAGCAAAATTTCCCACAATTACAGAAACAAAACCACTCCCTGCATCAGAAAACAGTTTATTTAGGATTTGGTCAAACAAACCAGAACCAGTTCTCTCTGTTTCTTGCTGGTAACCTTTGAGAAATCCAATAGTCAAAGCACTAGTAACCTTAACAACAGATTCTGAAAGCTCATCTGACTGAGGAATCTTTAAAATCTGCTTTAAGCTTCTAGGAATTTGATCAGATTCTGATCGAATAAATTCCTTTAGATCTCTTGAGAGAATCCCAATTGCATCAGCAGAATCAGATACCATTTCAGCTAAAGAAACAACTGTATCAACAAGCTTCAACAATCTTTCCCTTTTTAAAGCCATAGAAGGTGAGTTATAAGCTTTGTATGCGCCAAAACCAGTGACACCTAGAGCTCCCAAAGCAACAATCAAGTTTTTATTCTTTTGAGTATAAACCGGTTCCTTTTTTATTTGATTCAAATCCATATAATTCAGAGCCATACATATGAAAATCTTCTAACTTCTGGACCCTGATTGCTGGACCTTAATTCTCAAAGGGGGTCGAAAAACAGATTAAATATGCCAAAAGTGGCTTAGAACTGACTTAATGTTGAAGAATGAGAAAGGGGTTTCTATTTTCGGAAAGGAGGGAGGGAACAGAACAGAGAATCTGATCCAGTAGAAACTATGCATGTATTGTGATAAGGACGACTTAAATAAGGACAACTGTGGGGGTTTCTGTACTTTCTTGATTGATCAATCTCAGCTTTCATCAGGTTTTATATAGGGGAGGTTGGGGTTAATTTCAAGATTTATGCCAAGATATTTCTTTTTGCAGCGGATAATATGGATATGGATAATTTCACAGTGAACTGTGAATGGCAGAAAATTGCAAATTTTGAGAGGATAGATACGAGGCGAGACGACGGTTGTTCTATTATGTCATCGTTGCTTAATTTATGGTCCAGCTGGGTCTCTGTTTTCTGAACAGTTAAGTCGGTCGTCGAACATTAATTGAATAGTGACTTACTGATCCTGAGTTTTCATTTCCTATGTTGCCCAAAGGAACTGATAGTATTACCTGTAAGCATAATCTTTAATTTATGTCAGGATTTTGAACACGATAATTTTACATAAAAATTATTATAGAAAAATATATTTTTAGCGGAAGTCATTATCGTGAAGGGGAAACATTAATTGAAATTGATTTCTCGCCTCTTGCCCTAACTTTCGTTACCGCCGACTTTAGTAATGGAGAGGACCAATTTATAGAGGTTCTCACTTAATTCGATACGTCCATCAAGTAATCGATCGGACGGATGAGATTCGCTCATTAATTAAATATTAATTACGAGCCTTAAACATATTGGGCCACCAATATACGTAGGAAAATACTACATTCTCTCATTTGGCCAAATAATCACATAATATTAATATATAATATAGGGACATTAGTTGCGCATAAACAAATCTCTTCTATTATGTCCGTCATAAATAACATAATACAATAAAAAACATTAGCAACTCATCGAACCAGGTCCATAAGCTATAAAATATTATGGTCCACAATAATGTCTCATTGAGACTTATCATGTAACATCTCAAAACAATAATGTGTACACATTATGAGAAACAGGAAATTATTAATGTATATCAGAAACACATAAATGAGCTTAGAGTGTCAAAACATCATAAATACAACCAAGACTCATTCTATGTACATGTTCTTTAAATATATTTGGCTGTAAACCTTTGTTAACGGATCTGCAATCATGAGATCCGTTCTAATATGCTCAAGTGTCACGATCCAACTTTCCCTCCGTTTGGGTATCGTGATGGCACCTAGTCTTAGGGACTAGGTAAGCCTAACTCATGCTGAAATACCACATTAATAAATGAAATTTAACAGTCTTGAAGCAAAAATTTCTACAAAATTTATAATTCCCAAACCCGGTAGTACAAGTCATAAGCTCCACAGAGTTTCGCTACAACTTCTAAACATAACCGTATGGAAAATAAGTACAACAGTGTGAATATAAAATGGGAAGGTGACTCCGAAGCCTGCGAACGCAGCAGCAGGACTACCTTGAGTCTCCTCGGCAAGAATCCGCATAGCTACTAGCGAACAATACCTGGATCTGGACACAAAAAAAATGTGCAGAATTATAATATGAGCACACCACAACGATACCCGGTAAGTATCAAGACTAACCTCGGTGGAGTAGTGACGAGGAACAGTCAAGACACCTACTGGTCTAATATACAGAACATGATATTTATATAGAGACAACGCGATACGGCTAACAATACAGTAATTAAAATAAGGAAGGAAAACATCAAGTACTCAGGGAAAAACACCGTAAGGAAAACACGGAAAGGTAAGCGAGATATACAACCCAAATACGAAATCACAAATACAGTAAAGACAAGTCATAACTCAACAACTCCGATAGTTTTCACCTTAAGTCTTAACCAGCAAGCATCAATCAAATAGTCAAACCTTTCAAGTGATAAAAGAAAAATGTTTCGAAATATACTTCATTCAAATAAATGTTCTTTTCAAAAAGAGTTCTTTCAAAATAAAGGCTTTTCGAATATAATCTTTTCAGATAGATAACCTTCGCATATCAGTCACCCTGTGACACCTCATCTCATAATCATACAATACAGGTCTCAATACTTGAACCCTAATACTTGGCATCATGTGCTCTCATCACACCTCCTGATCATACTGACAACTCACGTGGCCCAAAGAGTCATTCTCACATGGAAGGCAAATAACAAGGGTGTGCGTCTATACTCAGAAATCTCAAGGAGCCTCCTATCCGATAAGGGTGATTAACCATGTGTATGCTTGTGCAAGTGTCCTAACATAGTTCATACCAACTAGTAAGTACAAGGAATAGAACGGACAACACCTATAATGTTTACACAGGGATAGGATCAATGAAACATCAGCTCAGAACGCAATGATTTTTAACAGGGGATCTTCCAGGATATCGTTCCGTAGTCCCAAACGTAAATACTCGGGGATCTCTCAATATCCTCAATATATGTGCTGGGGATCTCTTGGTATCCCGAGGATCTCATAGTATCCTCAATATGTGTTGGGGATCTCTTATTAGCTCTTTTTCTTGTTCATCACTGCTGGCTATTTCAACCCCGGTTCGAGGGTAAATATTTCACTGAGACTAGAACTATCCTCCGCATTTGGTTTGAATTCATTTTATCTTCGTTTATTCAATCTAACTCAATTTATTATTTTGTATCAAATTAGTCCGCGTATCCTTAAAATTACTTACAAATTTAATTGTTATCCGATTTTTAGGGTAAACAATATGTATGGGGCGAGGGGAGGGGGCAATAATAGCCACTTTTACGGCTATTTGCTGAAGAAATTGCCAACATTTACAACGTACTTAAAATTTAGTCGCTTATATGATCAGATGGGGGCAAACTTCACACATGGAGTCAAACCTTAGGTTAATTTGAAGTTGGCAGAACTTCAGACTGCACAGACCACTGGCTTTCGGTTAGAGGCGGCTCCAGAATTAAATTTAATGGGTTCAAGTTTTAAGATTTTCAGTATTGAATTCACTTTCCTTATAAAATTATGAGTTCAAATCTAATATTTGCTGAGATTGTAATAGGTTTTCACTTATATATCTACACTCCGTATCAAAAGTTATGGACTCAGATAAACCGTAGCCAATAGGCTACATTTGCCTCTGCTTGTTGTGGCGTATACAAGATATTTACAAGCACGGTCACATTTAAAAGAGTTTGAAACAATGTTGTAAGAATATTATATCCTATTAATTAATAAATACTATCCAAGTATGTTTGAAATGTATTCATTAATTCCCTGATTTTTGCTAAGGGAATATAAGTCATTAGTGTAAGCTTTAGCGTGGAGGTCTGATTGGTTCGAAGTGTTTTGGAGGCCGTCACCAGTTTGAAAATCCCTAGTCCCTAATTTTTTTCAAGAGTCATTACTCAAATAATCATTCAACTATTTGAAATTACCTAGTAAAGTTATTTTTCTTTTGTTTGTAACAGGAAAGTCACTTAACTATGCATAGAGTACTCAGAAGATCACTCAACCAAATTTCTTAAACTTTTAATGGTCAAATACCTATTTTACCCTCTAAATTATCAACTTTTATCTTCTTTAATATTATTATCCTCTTTTTAATCTATATTAAGAATTCACATATAGAACAAATAAATTTATACATAAAGTAAAAAAGTGCAAAATATTTTTCATGTATATATAATGTTGGAAAAATAAAATAATTGAGCGCAATAAAACATATAATTAGAATAATTTATTCCCATAAGTAATTTTGATAATAATGACAAAAACTCAAAAGAAAATTCCAAAATTGAAAATAAAAGATTTTAAAACTTATATTCCATGCATTTAATATAAACAATTTAAAATAGAGACATAGTTTATAATATATATTATATATCTTAAAAATTATGCTAAATTATTTTATTATTCCAATATTATATATGCTTAAAAAATATTTTATCTATCGGTAATTCCATAATATAGATTAAAAAGATATAAAATATCATAACATCTTTAAGAAAAAGACAAAGGTTGAAAACTTAGGGGATAAAATAGATGTTTCGCAATCAAAAGTTTGAGAAATTTAGTTGAGTGATCTTTTGAGTGCTATACGCACAGTTAAGTGACTTTTTTTGTTATAAACGAAATAAAATGACTTTACTAAATAATTTAGAATAGTAAAGTGACCATTTGAATAATTGACTTAATTATTCAACAGCTTAAACTCAAACACTTGAGAAACAGATCAGGCTCGCCCAAGACCTAAAAGATTGTGCAAGTTTGTCATTTTACATTTTCTTACTTTTGCATATTATATATATATATATATATATATATATATATATATATATATATATATATATATATATATATATATAGTAAAAAGGATTTCGACGAAGCAAGGTAACACCGCTTGGTCTAACATATGTAAATCCGCCCCTGGTTGCTTGAAGTCTGCCCAGTGGCTTCTTGTTGCTATCAATTTTTGCTAATTTTCTTTGTTGCTAGATTTGATGTACCAGTCCTACTACCACTCCAGCCTTCATTGTTTATAGAATGTTAACTTGTATCCTGCTTTCAAAATTAAGAGGAGGGAAAAAGGGCAGAGAGGTTTAAACAAAAAGAAAAAGAAAGATAGAAGTAGACAAAACTTTTAAACTATTACTTTCTCCGTCACTTTTATTTGGTACGTTTTGACTTTTCATGTCTCTTAAGAAATAATAAATGAAGTAAATAATTTACCATAATACTCATATTAATTGATGCATATTTTATTGGATTTGAGAAAATAATTTGAAATGAGTAATAAATACTGTAGGTTTCAGGAAAAAAAATTTGTCTTCTCTTGATGACAAGCAAAAATGAAAATCTATTTTTAATATACCTACAAAGTAAAAGTGAACGGAAAGAGTATGTGGGATTG